AGGATTTTGAATATCTTAAATAAGCAGTGTGAGCTTTCTTCATTTCTTTGGTTAGATTCCCTCAGATTTTTTTCCCTCTTGTTTACAATGTAGACAATTTGTTTTTGCTTAAATTTCATTGTAGAAATATTTTATTTTTCTGGAATCTAACTTAGGATTTTCATAAACCAGATTTCTTTTTAAATTGACAATCAAACATACAGAAAATTACATTTTATATTCTTAAATTTAAAATAAAAGCTAACATATGAAAGTCAGGTTTAAAACACAAACTAATATATGAAAGTTCACCCCCTGGGCAGAGAGTGGAGGAGAGAAAGTAATTACAGTGAACGTTATTTAAAAGTGTGAAACCGAGCTTTTGCTTAGTAAAATAAATGATGTCGGAATACTACTAAAACTAAATAAAGAAGGTAAAGGAAATTAATAAAACATCAAGACATATATCTAATGAAAATCCAAGTATGTAGTTGGAAAATTAAACACTTGATCATACCTGGTGTTTAAGGGAGTCTTAATTTAGAATGCAAAGACAGGTGTGTGCGTCAGCTAAGAAACTCTCAGGATTTCTAGTGGTATATACCATTTGTGATTGCCTCTGCTTGAGGTGGATTTTAGATAAGCTCGTAGAGACATGCTGATGCAGTTGGATATCTCCGCTAAACTGTTTTGCTCTTTTGCAATAAAAAAAAAAAACAAAACAAACAACAGGAACTGAAGTAATTTTTCTTCCTCTTTCAGAGACAAAATACACAATGAGAAGCCTTAAAGATGTACAATATCTCTTATCCAGATCTTAGTCTTACTTTCTCTTGTAAAGATTTGTTTGAAAGGATATCCTTGGTTGAGATCTCAGTTTCTTTCCTTAGCAAGGGATCATTCTGCCTAATTATTTTTTAATCTCAGAAAGTCATTTAGAGCAGCTAGAGATGTAATGAAATGTAAATGGGGACAAGATAAAAATGTGCCATATCACATCCTAGAGCATCTTTATTTCTTGCCAGTATTTGTTGGGATTTGAGGCAATATGATGACATACCAAACTTAAACTAATTCAAAGAAATGCGTTTTTTAAACTGGAAGACTTAGACTGAAATGGAAAATGATGTTGAGAGCATGAAGATATTTTATGGTAATGTGGGAAAAGTTCTGGAAGCCATGTTTAACTTACACGCTTTTTTTCTTTAACAGGGTTGTTTTTAGTGACGGATCACTTGATGAAAGGTTTCATTTGATGGGTTGCTTCCATGAGTATTGTCACTGATTGAAACAAGTCAGTCCCAGGTGTGAGAGAAATGTACTTTATTTAAGGAATTGAGGAGAATGCTATATATACCTTCAGCTTTTCTTGATGGTCCGATCTGATTGCACTCATGCTCCTGTATCTTGCTGTGCTGCTTGCTGCAGCAGTCTCAGTACATGCCCAGTTCTCCAGGAGCCAGTGGGTGGGAGAAGTTTCATGTCTATCCAGGCTAAACCTTGGCTGGGATTTCCTCTTCTGTCATTTGCTTCTTTGCCTTGTTAGTCAAGTTCTCACTGGTTCTCCGTATGTGAGACTTTATATTCTATTACTTCTGATTAACTACCGAGAGGGAAAACACTTCTGAATTATTGCGAATTAGGAGTACGCTTGGTATGTGCACTTTTGCTGTGAGTGATGCCAAGCCACTGGCCCTTAGGGTTCAAATGGAGGACACAGCTGTGTTCCAGGGGAGCAATACATTCCTCCTTGGAGCTGTTAGACTTATCTTTGGAAATAAGTGACCATGAAAAAGTTAACTGTGTTTTTGCTCATATCTCTAGCTATTTTTCCTGATGTTCAAAGTGTTTCAAATGCATAGAAAACCATTCAAAATTAATGCACTTTAGGGATTGTGTGAGGGATTTTTTTTTTTTTTAGTAACTGTTACTAAAAATTGGTTTTTTAGCAAGAACTATGTCTTTCATTGTCAGTCCCACAGGTTCTACACTTCATGTGGTAGTTAATCTAGTAATGCTAGAAATAGTTTTCTAAACCTGGTACTGTAGTACGAGTTGTGTGAAGAACTGAACAGTGGTTTCTTGAACCAGGTAAAGCAAAATTGTGATTTCATATACTTTACTGGGATAACCTCTAACGATTTTAAAAATTGTAGAACAAATTCTTTAATCTTAGATTTTGTGGTGGTAGGATTTTTAGGCAAAATCATTTTGTTTATATCTTTAGAATGACTTTTTGATGCAAAATTTGGATAGAATTTACACTTGATCAGACTCATTCTCCAGAAATAAAGCTTTCAATAAAATTACTCTTGAGTTTTCTTGTAATAGCTAGTTAGGTGTCATTGAAGGTGGCTGTGGCCACTGCATGTATAGTTATTGTGCAGTGCTTTTAGTATTCTGAATGACTGCATGGTGGTCTTGCAAAACTGTAGATATTGTTTTTCAATCACATTGCTGTAGACAGATTAATTTCTGTCAGCTTTAATTTTTGTAGCAAGAGCTAACATTCTGCTTAAGCTTTGCTACTTAGCACTGCTCTTAATGGTCAGCACTGCTTTGGTAACAGCAATGTTTGAGTAATAATTATACAAATGTACTTCTCCTATCCAGAAAAAAAACTTGAGATATGTTTTTATAAATGTATTCCAAGCCCCTGTCATTCTTTAATTTTGGGTACAAAAGGTTTCTTACAGTAATTCAGGGGTGTTCTGTTGCAGTGACATTGTCACTTGTTAGTGTCAGGGTTCACCGTTGTTTTATTCAGTGTCTGTTACTCCTGTGCTTCTGTGATGCTAATATGAAAAAAAAAAAAAGTGTCATTACAGGAAGGTATTTTAAAGTACTGGACTGGGGCATTTACAGTTATTTTCTTACTTTGAGCCACTGTAGCTCTTGTAATTTATCCTGTATGGTATCAGATTGTTGTACCTACGTGGCATAATAAAAATAGATTATACAGTGCAGTGTAACACTTCCTCTCTTAGTTTGCTGCTTTATTTGTTGCCAGATTTGGAAATTATTTTGACAACTGCAAAAAGAATGTGGACTGCTATAGGTGCTAGTTGGCATGGTGTATACATAGATGCACTATCGCTTGATAAAAATAGTCTATTTTTTGGTGAGGGAGCTTTTAAATTATAAAGTACTTGGTGCTTTAAGTCTTGTTACGTTCTTACTGAATGCACGTGCTTTTGCCTGACTTTCCTTCTTCCTGGCTGCTTGGTCGGTAGGACATTGTGTATTAGACTATTTTGTCATGGTTAGTGTGTAGATACTGTAAAGACATGATGCTCAGCAAAGACATAATGCCATACCTGACCATTGTTTTCTTCTGAGCTGCTCTGTGGGAGGAGACACTTGTGTTTTTAAAAAAACAAAACAACATTTTTCATGCTCACCTGTAGTTTTTGTAAATTTGTGAAATTAAATAAATTGCATAAATAGGGTTGAAATGTTATCAGAGCCTCTTACATGTGCATGACTAGGATTTTCCCTGTTGACTGCCAAAAAAGAAATGTCCCATTGATGTGTATAAGGAAGCATACTTAATTGTTCTAGTAAGCATGAGCAGGTACTGGATTTATTTAGTAGCAGGTTGCTTGAAGAACGATCTAGAAAGTAATTCAAGCACTACAAACTGTAAATCTCACTTTTCCTTTTATTAATGCGTTCATTCAAAAAAAAACCCCAAACAAACAAAACAAACAAAAACCAACCTGTCTAGTGTGTGGGAGAAGAACGATGAAGGAAGGAGCAGGAGAGACTGTATATTCTTTTTCTGTTTCCAAAAGCATGAACAGCTTTGCTTGCCAAAACTGGTCTCCGAGACTTTCCTGTATGCCAAATTAAGCCAGGCACTACTACACTACTCCATTTTCCTTGCCTCCATGACCATACTTACTGTAATTGTCTCTCTCCAACCTAAGTATATGCTTATGCTAAACTTCTGAAGAAACATTTTGCTGACTTTTTTTTCTATTCTGTTGTGTAGTTACATGTTCTTATTAGTTGAATCTCTACTCCAATAGTTGCATTTCTGTTATATTGCAAAGGAAGTGATTTAGAAAATAGGGAATCCCTTCTTGTAAAATTTAGGTGCCATCTTTGAATACAGTTCCTTAAGTTTTACCTAAACTTCTTCAAAACTGAAGTTTCTAAAAGGCTCCTGGACCTTTTGAAGCCAGCTCATGATTCTTGTATGCTTGACTGAGGTCAGATTTCCATATAAAATTTCTGTAATTGAATTTAATGATAGGTAAAAAATAACAGAGGTAAGGCCTTGCTGCTTAAAAATAGTTACTTGCTATGAAATACTTGATAGTTCCTATATGAACAGAAATACAGTCCTTCTCAGTTTTGGGCCTAGTATGGCAGGCTCCTGAGCCTTCTCAGCTCCATTGATGGTAGTGGAAGCTGACCTCAACTTCTGCGTTTAAAGGTGAAGAAAGATGTGCACTCACAGTGCTGCTAAGCAGGTTCACTTGTTCTTGATTTCCCCTTCCCACTGTGTCCCACCCTCTTGGTTTGGTTAAGTTTTAAACAAATTTTAGGAAGGAAGTGTTCTAATTTTCTAGTTACCCTGTAGAAGTGACAGCACTCTGATGCTGATAGAGTTTATATTGACTTAGCATAGGCTTTCTTTTAAAAATAATCAGTTAGAGATTGATTTTTAGACATGGAGAAGGCCATGTTAAGACAGAAACAGATTTTTTTTTTTGGGTTACAATTCTAAAATACCTTAAGCATTCTTTATAAAACACAACAGCCAAAACAGTTTGCTGGTTTCTTAGGTGTTTTACAATTTGTAGCTTATTTTCTTATGGTATTTTTCTTGTCTTTCTATAGGGCTGAAAGACACACAGGAGTCTTCATGGATATAGTTGATACATTTAATCATTTAATTCCTACTGAACACTTAGATGATGCCCTATTTCTAGGATCCAACCTGGAGAATGAAGTCTGTGAGGATTTTAGTACAAGTCAAAATGTCTTAGAGGATTCGCTGAAGAACATGCTCAGCGATAAGGATCCTATGCTAGGATCTGCAAGTGCCCAGTTCTGTTTGCCTGTTTTGGATAGCAATGGTCCCAATTTCCAGATGCCTTGTTCAACAGGTAAATCTTACAATTTTTTAAGATTTCAGTTTAAAATACAATTATACTCTAGTACCAACCCTTTTTGGTAATGTAGAAATAAGAATATGGGATTTCTGTCTCCTTCTTGCCCTTTTTGTTGCGCTGCTTACATGCTTAGCATGTAAACTGTGTGCAGTTGTTCTTAACATCATCACTTAACAATAGAAAAAGGCTCCTAATCTGGATCAGAAGTAATTTAGTCTTTGTCTTGAGTATGCGTAAATTATTCCAAATTAAAGTTGTGATTTGTTTAGTGTAAGTACTGTGCCTGATCAATGAAGCTGCTAGTTGTCTTCAAAAAAATGTAGGAATTCTGGATTAGGAGTAGGAGCATGAGAGTTGTACAAATTACTGCTCTGACTTCAGGGTTATTCTGTTAGTGATAGGCCTTCTAGTACTGAGCTGATGCCAGATTCTGGGTGTTTTGCTTTTGTTGCTTTCAAACAAAACCCTGGAATGATAATACATTTCTTTTTTGTTTGTTTGGAAATACCTGATTTGAAAGCAATTCAGAGCAAAGTTTTAAATAAAAATTATCTTAGGAGTTGTGGAGTAGTTTTGGAAGATCAAAAAAAAGAAGGGTGATCCAGTCCCTAAAATTATTATTTATACTGTTGAATAGTTGGAATACACTGAATGTGGTGTAAGAGACAAAAGTATACTCTGTGCTTAATAGTGTTTTTTTTTTATTTGACTGGAAGTTTTAAATATTTTTTTTTTAGGTTAATTGGAAAAGTGTGGTAGATTACTGCAGATAACTTTGATTGTATCAACATCTCATTTTTTTCTGGCAACTGTTCCTGAAAATCTTGAAAACTCAGAATATGATAGATTTTTTTTTTCTGCTAAGACTAAATTCTCACCTTCACTAAATTAAGTGGTATTACAGTGTGGAAAACTTTAAATCAAAGATGATATTGACTGAAGCAATGAAAAAGTAAACTACAAAGCCAAAACAAGATATTTGATCTTATTACGTAGTAGAAAATTATTAGAAGCCATTCTTAATGTTTATTTTTATTTTTATTGTAGTCTGTATCCTTACACATTTTTCTGTAACCCAGCAAACAAAATTGTACCACTGTTAATGTGCATAAGGCTGAACAATGTACACAACTAAACAAAATTCCTTCTCTCATTTTTTTTTACTTCCAAGAAAAAACAGTGATGCAAATTCTTGTTTCACATTGTGTCCTATGTATCTTCATGTAGAATTTTTGAATTAACTCATAGGGTACGGCTGGATATTTTGGAAGTTAGGGGGAGACTTTTGGGGCTTTGGGGCATGTATTTCTTCTAAAAGTGATCAGCAGTGTGATAATTAGTACTATTCATACTTAAATAATCATGATTAGTTTTTAAGGTCTATTAAAATATGTGAGCTAACTCATTTACTTGGGAGCTGCTATTTCAGCCCCTCTGCAGACTAAGGGAATCAAAACAGATTTGATTTATGCTGTATTCATTATTTTAATGTTTTGTTTTTAAATGTGAAAGCAAGAGCAGAGCCACATTTCAGAAAGCAATTTGCATTTAATGTAGTAGGTATCCAAAAGGACATGAAATCTTATTGTTGCTTGTTCTTTGTAGGTCTTGTTAAGAACTGTCCTTATTTTGAGATGGTAGGACTACACTATATAGTTTTTTAGTTGAGAATAATGATGATCTGTTTGAAGCAAAGTTTGTTTGCTTGTCTTTCTTCCTTGAGTATTCATATAACTTACGATTTATTTGATTTGTCCGAGACTGTTGGTGATCTAATACAGTTTATGTAGTCTGCTGGTAAGAATGTACCTGCTGGTAAGGTGCAAGATGATAGTACCCTTGGTAAGAATTACCTGTACGAAGGCTGTTTTTTCCAGACAGTATGTGTGAAAGCTCATCTCTACACCAACATCAGTTTGCCTAAAAATGAAAAAAGCATAATTCTCCTCACAAACTTGCCTTACTTATCACTACTGTATCTTTACAGGTACAACACCATTGGTGTGTCATGCATGCAGAATGATAGTTTGCTGTATTCTGATCCTTATCTCACTATGAATTTATTCTGTAATGCATTAGGCAATATGCTAACAGAATTGTTGGTTATTGGCTCTTAACCTTTCACTAGGGTTAAAAGTGTACATAGAAAAATGTGTTTGCGATAAGGTTTTACTATTTAGTAAAATAAATCTCTGTTGTTATTTATTTGTTAAGCAGGGCAAGACCTAGGAAATACTGAAATGGTAGATGGTGGTGTTTCTTACATTCTTGATTTCATTCCTGAAGAAAAATGTTATTTTTTTTCCAGAGGCACAAATTTATTTACCACAAGTTTACATCTTCACAGTACTTCGCATAACCCATGCCTAGACCATAGAACAGCTTAAGAAAAGGAATGAAATGCTCATGCAAATTAGTTCAGAGGGCAATCAAGGGGCAGATTTATCGTGTTTGCTGCTTCACGAATAAGTGGAATGTACTCTGTTCTGTCCAGTTTTTAAAGTGTTGAAGATTTCATGCTACAACTTCCTTGGTTGTTGTGTGCAAGCCGAAGAGATAAAGGTAAAAGTAATTGCACTGAGGAGGCGATTTGGCTAAAATGATGTTAGGTCCTATAGATAAAATGGAGGAGCAGAAGGCATGGCTCACTAGTACTGCTTTGAAAGCCTGGTTTGAGCAGAGTTCAAGAGTATTTGTAAACCTCTGTACAAACCAAAGTACTATCTTTATATGCCTTCAACCCAAAAAATGTACCGTGTTCCAAATATGGAATTTCTTATCTGAGCATGAGTACGTGTGAGTGGCAGAGGCTTTGAGAAAGGCTTGTTTCAGGCCTGCTTACCCACATACCAGATTTCTCAGGAAAGTGACATTTTCTCTGTTGTAGAGATCAGGTCTTTTTGTCTAGGAACCCTTTCTCTGTTGCTTTTACATTTGTTTTGAGTATAGGTTTGTTTTCTGCTTTTTCTTACTGCTGCGTTGACATTAGTTCTTGTTGGGTGTTATTTACAGGCCTAATCCAAAGTTACTGCTCATCAACATTGCTTGTCTTGCTCAGCTTTAGGGTTTATATTGCACATCGTTCCCCATGAACTAAGCTCTTTCTTAATACTAAGCTCTTTCTCTGCTGAGTTACCAGTATCTGACTGTATGTGATGGATACTGGTAGCAGCTGGTTGTGTGTCCTTTAAACAGTTGAGGTACTAGACTGTAAGACAGAAACACGTAGATTTTTATGAGTTGAAGTTTGATTTTTACAGTCATTTCTCATTAGAGGTATCTACCCAGAAAATGCAAATTTTGTAAATTAGATTATAAATGCCTCTCTTGGGGAGGATGGTAGCATAGAATCATATAATGCAGGAGAGTTGGAAGGGTCCTTTAAAGGTCATCTAGTCCAATCCTCCTGCAATGAGCAGGGATACATTCCACTAGATGAGGTTGCTCAAGGCCCTGTCCAGCCTGACCTTGAATGTTTCCAGGGATTGGGCATCTGCCACCTCTCTGGACAACCTATACCGGTGCTTCACCAACCTCATGGTAAAAAATTTCTTCCTATATCTAGTCTGAATCTACCCTCATTTCATTTAAAACCATTACCCTGCATCCTATTGCTAGAAGCCAGACTAAAAAGTTTGTCCCCATATTTCTTATAAGCCCCCTTTAAGTGTTGGAAGACTGCAGTAAAGTCTCCCTGGAGCTTTCTCTTCTCCAGACTGAACAGCCCCAATTCACCCAGCCTGTCCTCATAAAGGAAAGGTGTCCAGCCTCCTGATCATTTTTTGGCCTTCCCTGGACCTGCTCCAGTAGGTCCATGTTTTTCTTGTGCTGAGCATCACATAGTCGAAGTACTGGTGTATGACAAAGAGGAGAGATTATGAGAATGGATGTCTGTTGCCTGCCTATTGATAAGGAGAACTATATCAGTACCAGTAAAGCAGTCTCATGTTCATGTCTTGGGCTGAATCCAGTTTGTGCTGGATCTAAATGGTTTCTCCAGTTAGGTGACACTGTTCGTCTTTCTCTACTCTGTGAGCTTGCTCTGTAATAGAACAGAATGGGGTTGTCTTGTTCAGCTTTGGTGCAGCAGTTAAGTGTTCGGAGTAGACAAGAAGATTCTTTGTAGGTAATGGCTTTTAGCAGAGCTATAAGTAGCTCTTTATGACCCTCTCACAAGCTGGAAAGGGTATGGGTTAAATTAACAGAAGTTATGATGAAAATCCTTTTAAGATATGTTTGTGAAGAGTAACTGCTAAACTGTAAAGATACAGTTTGGTTGCAAGTTTGTGGAGTTACATTGAGCAGATTGCTGCTCTTACAGCACAGGTAGGAGGGTTTCTGTTACTTAAGTGCATCAAGGTACAAGCTACCCACAGACCTTATTATTCGCTGCAGTTCGTAGGAGCCTAGCAATAATGAAGGCCATTTACTGTTCTGAAGTAGATGTTAGCAGAAAGGCTTAGGGTCGATAGTGAAAGTTGATATAACTGTTCTCTTTGCCAGTTAAAGGACAACATTTGACAAAGTGAGGTTTTTGAGTATCAAATCAAATTCTTGAAACAGAAGTGTCCCATGTTATGTTTTAGGGGTCTCTGTGCATCTGTTCATCGGTGTGGTCAGATGGCTGTTTTTCCAAGATCTGAATGACCAACACAGGAGGGTAGTTTATTTAGAACAGCTCTTGGGTGTCTTTAATATTTGTGTGGTGTGGGTGGGTGTAGATGTGTGGTTTTAGGTTTGTGTTTTTTTTTCTTTCTGAGCAAGTCCTTGATCAGAAGTGGAAACTGAAGTTTATGATATGATGTTAACTCTTGAGAGCAGCACCTTTTTTTCAACTTTGGATGGTACCCTAGCGATAGGTTTTGGTTTGTTCTGTTATTTCTTGCTGAAATACATCCTGGAAGCTTATCCACTAATTTTATAAGCTTGTGAGCATAGCAAGTCAGACTGGTTACCTGCCAGCAGTGAACCAGCATTCATGTTGAATTGGTGTTACTCAGCTATCACAAATTCTGTAGCTTTTCAGGATGCAATTTACTGGGGCAGTTTGATTTATTATACATGTAATAGAGGGAGTGGAATTTGAACTGTATATAATCTGAAGACATTTCTGGATTTCATAATAAAATCAACCTTTTAACCAATTTGGTTTATGGGTCTGTTTATCAAATCGGGCATTTGTCCTAAGTTATGAGGAAGGCTGACTATAGGAGTGTACAAAGACTGTTAGAAACATATTTTTAATTGCCCCTTTTTTCCTGTCCCTATGGATTGTTGTTGGGAAAGTGTTTCCCCCAAGTGCAGTCTGTTATTCCTAGTTTTAGCCTGTGTTTTCATGAGTACTGTGGAAAGCAGAATTACCTCTGTTAAATTGTGATCGCCTACTCAATGTTTGGAGTCAAACCAGTTGTCCTGACTACATATACTACTTTTCTTTAGCTAGTGTCCTTTCTCGCTGTGTTTGTCATTTCAGGCTTTTTTCAATAAAGCCTATGTACATGTATTTTTCTTCCTGCATATGAAGTAATTTTGAATGTAACCTTCAGATTGCAATCCAAAATTTAGTCTACATTTGTTTCAATCAGTTTTCTTACCTCTTAATGCCTTCCTTCCTCCAAGCTGTCCATGTGAACAGTTGCACAGTGTCTTGTGACCAAGGTAGTAATTTTCCTGTATAACATTTAAATTTCTATGTTGGTATTATATTAAGTATCTGGAGAATATTTATTTTGCATGCTTTTCTGCTTGTAGGTATCAGACTACCAGTTTTCCCCATTTTAGGTCCTTCTGAAGACATAAGTTATTCATTTGGATCAGTTTTATGGATGGAGAGAGGTTGGATCTGTAAGGATTTGCAAGGCACTTTATTTACGAATCACAGAGCTCATCTAAAGGCTGTCAGTGAAAGAATTTGATTTAAAGCGCTTGCTTTGGTGCTGTGTTTTAGTTTGTTGTTGATATTTGTGCTTTATGACTCTTTATTTCCAAAGTAACAGGCTCCTGTGGATAAAGAACCACAAATCACAGTATCCCTGTTATGTAATTCCTTTTTTTTTAAATGGCGTTTCAGTCCTCTGTCAAGATACATGAAGTATTAAGTTTATTAATCCTAATTGATATGTTTTTATTCTAAAGACAGGAAAAAAAAATCCCTCTTTACAGTTTAGAGATTCATGGAGAATGGGAGTAAATGTTTAGTTAGTATTTCACATGGTAATTGATTCTTTTCTTGCGCTGGACAGTCAGTACAAGGTACTTGCTGGCAAATTCTCAGTTAAACAGGTTACAGGCTTACAGGAAAACTTGCATAAAACAGTTGGAAGTTGGTGTTTTCTTATGTGTTATATATCATCAGTGACCTCATCTCTCGCAAATGTATTATTTTCCTAACAAAGAACATTTTTACTTCCATTTCTAGAGCATATGCATCACAAATGTCAATAGGAAAAAGATTTTAATGTAAAATATACTCATTTACAGTCTTGAGAGTTAGTGATGTTTTTTCCATATCAATATCTATGTTTCATTGCTTTACTGGAGTTTCTTAGCTCTTAAGGATTACTAAGACATGTTTTAGTTACTGCTTCGGACTGTTACTGTTCTTTTCATTGAAGCATAATGTTAGTTTTTTTATGGTATCATCCACATATAGCGTGGTAGAAATTTTTAAATGTTCAACCATTTCCATATAATTTGTAATGCTTGTAGAATTAAAATACAGACTCTGCTGTGGACTTGCTTAGTTCTGCTGTTAGCATGATTCAGATGGTCACAGCATTCACAACAGCACAAAGCAGCACAACATTGGAGTTCTGTTCTGTGTGGTTAGCTAAGCAAAAGAAAATCAATAAAGATTTATAAATTTCAGAGATTTTTTATTATGTTTTTAGGGGTATTTTTTTTCTCCTTCCCTCCTCTTCCCCCAGCAAGTAAGGCTTATTTTCCTCAATTTTACATTGCTGAAGAATTAAAAAATAGTCACACTTTTGTTTTAATGCATGGAAAATTTTACTTTAAATTTGCAAGTAAACTATTTTTACTGTTATTCTATTATTGTATAATATATATGAAAATGAGTGAGTAGTACAGCACAGTAGCCTGGAAATTTAAATACTTTACAAGTAATGGAGAGACTCAAGATACTAAGTTGAAGGCCAGTGGTGCCTTTTTCAGTATGAATATGTTGAATGTGACTCATATTTTTGTTATTTGCAGCCTGTTCAGTTGTACACTGGTGTACAACTTTTTCTATTCAGATGTGTTTCCTGTTTTTCCCTCTTTCTTCTGTCTCAGCCTTCTGTCTTAATTTCTGTGCTTATTACTGAGTTAATCTTTAGATATTTATTACTAAGATCAATAGGTCTTTCTTTTTAGTTCTGTTTGGTTTTGCTTTTGTTGATTTACTTTTTTCAACACTGTGTCTCTACCTCTGCTTCTCTTTCATAATTTAATTTCTGAATCTCCTCTTTATCTATTACTATTCTCTGTCACTTTTTCTCTTCCCAGCAGGGTCTGTGTCGAATGCTCCTCATCTGGGGGCCTCATGGGGCTGTACTAGCCGAGTTATAGCTCAGGTGGTTTGAAATTAGCAAGATTCTGTGCTTCAAATTCTTCTGTAAAATTAAAGCTACAGCACAGAGTCTTGTAAGTATGAAAATACTTTAATTCTAATATTTCAAACTGTCTGTCAATAGTATACCGAATGTATCCCTTTTGTTACTAATAAAGGAGGGTGTGTATATATTCAGTAACTTGAGCAAGAACATTATAAAACCTGAGGCTCTGATGGCAGCCCTGAAATCTGCTTCAAAGCTGTTTCAGAAATCGTCCAAGTAGTTTTTATTGGTCAGGTTTGTCTTCAGTACCTTAGCTCTACACTGAAGAAACAGAAGAGGATCTAAAAGGCATCTCCCTTTGTCACAGTCTGTTCCACATTTTGTAGGAACACTCTTTACTGAGGAAGCTAATGCCAAAGTGCAGAGCTGTTGGGAGGACATAGTCTTTGAGAGCACGAGAATGGGCAGCCAGAGTTAGAGTGAGGGTCCATCTCATCCAGTTTTCCATTTTGGACAATGGCCACTATTAGATACTTAGGGGAAAATAAAGTCTAATAGCGCAGTTACAATGCCATCTTTTTGCCAGTGTGTCCATTTTCCCAGTATGTAGCTTATAGCAAATAAGTGATTAAGGAACATTTGGATGACTGAAGTAAGACCAGCGTTATCAGTCCTCTGCGGCTTGTGATATCTGTGTGTATATGTACACACACAGAGGCATAAAAGTGGCTCTGTGGATTGGAAAGTGAAAGCTGCTAGTAACTTCCGGAAACATGCTTTTCCTGTAAACTGATGTATATGATGCAGTAGCTAAAAATGATGGTTAAAATAAAATGAGTACCAATGAATTGTCAGCTCAGGAAACTCCTAGCTTTCAGCTCTTGGGGGACATCTAATTACAGAGGTCCAGAGTGCGGATTACCTGGTGCCAAGGTCAGCCTTCCTTAAGAGGCTGTTTAAAATCTTTCTAATACTTGAACTTTAAAATTAGCAGGTTGTTTGGATACTGGGTGTTGTTTTTTGTTGTTTGGTTTTTTTTTTTCATTCTTCATGACAGGTGATTGTGGATTGAATTACAGTCTTGATAGACTTAATTATTCATCACTGTTCAACTTTAGCAGTGTTTTACAACTTCCAATTTTTGGTATTTTAAAAGTATGCTCATTATTGTAGTGCCTTCACAAGAGCATTATTTTTTGAAGTTGCAGTTACATCAGACTTTGAAAGGAACAAGAACTGACAGATTTTCTAAGACAGTCTAAAAATTCTAACAATTTTTAATTTCTGTTAACTTCTTGCATATTTTGATTTCTGAAATAATTATTTTTAATCAGTTTTAAGTAAACAGTTGTTAGAAATTTTTAGATGTCTTATTTCTGTCATGTGAGTTTATCTTAAAAATGTTTCTAGATAGGTGCCTTAATAGTGAAAAATAGGCATACTTGGTTGTTTGGAGTTGTATTTGTCAGACCCTCCTACATGTTTTGTGAAATTACTTGAGTGTTTGGCTTGATCTCACAAATTTCACATCCCACAGGGACCAGGATTCATTAATCACACATAGGATCTTGGGATAGGAGAGGCTGCCATTGCAGAACCAAACTTAGAAAGTGGGGAGAATGGCTGGTACAGTGGCTTGACTGCCTCTTAGGAAACCTATTTTCAGGAGCAACCTCTGGGATCCTTCTCAGGTTAGTGGAGGACAGGAATTTGACAATGTTCTCTGACTCTCCTGGGAGACTAGTGCATGCTGCACTCAATGTTCTTCCAAAAAGGGGTTGCAGATGCAGCTATGTGATGTGGGTGGGACTTCAGAGTTTTAAAATTGTATCCTGTGAGAAAACTGTGATTTTAAACTCTTTGCACTTCTGGATCAGCTCTTTCTGCTGTTTACCTTTCTTCACTTTTTCTTAGGTGGGAAGGGACAGTGAGGGACAGCTGATCCTCTAAGACTGGGGACCTTCCTGTGGCAAAAAAACAATAAAAATGTGAGTCCACCAAAAAGCTATAAGGACTATCTACAGAAATTTTAAGCTTTGGGTGATAGCTTCTTCTACACTGAAACTGCCTCACATGGGAATTTTCTGTCTTGCTTTTCTTAATTTCCCCCTCCCCCCCTTTTTGTTTGTTTTTAGATGGCCATTTTTTTTTTTTTCCCTGTCTCTTACCCTGTCTTGCTCAGCATTATAGCTGCAACATTTTTTGATCATTTTAAGTTTTAGGCTCTTTCTTGTTTGTTTTTTTCCAGTTATTGGTCTTGATGATATTATGGATGAAGAAGGAGTTAAAGAGAGTGGTAACGACACCATTGATGATGATGAGCTTGTTTTACCTAACAGGAATTTGAGGAGCCGATCTGAAGAAACATCAGTCACATCACCAAGAAAATCACCACGTTTAATGGCACAAGGTGATCGTTTTAGATTATGTGTTTTTGTACATTTGAAGCCAATTAAATTTTTATAATCTCACCCCCCAACCTTTATAGACTTACAGTAAAGCTTTGCTGTTCGGTTGTGTGAATTCAAGGACAGACGCTTCCTTTTTTTATACACTTCATCTAGAAGTTGGCATTCATAGGGTACTACTCAATTTGAATTTCTATTTGATAAATATTTGATGTCTTCCTTATGGCCACTAGTCCTTAAATTAATTTTTGAGATTTTGATCCTTTTACCTTCACCAAGAAAAGCATGTTGTAAACAGCACTGGAATATTGGGTTAGCAAGTCTCTATTTCCAAGTGAAATTTTACCTCTATCTATTTTTGTTTATTTTCCTTTTGTTTTAAATTAGGTTATACTAACTGCAGTCGGAGTCTTTTCATCAAAATATCTCAATGTATAATTATTTTAATTAAATATTTAAATTATGTGTGTTAGGTAATTGATTATGGTTAGGGTTTTTCTAACTTGTTGAACGAGTGGAGTTATTGACAGCTCTGCTTTCTCCCCCTATAGAGTAGGCTGAGTTATAAACATAAAATTACTTAATAGAGAAATCAAAATTGAAATAAGAGCCTGTGGTACAAAGCTGGTGAATACACTTTTTAAAAAGGCACTGGAATAGTTTGGTGATATTTCTAATCACAATATAACCTTGAGGTAGAAAAAGTTCAATGGTAGAAAAGTAGAGTGGGTTTTTATTGTCTTTTTATCATCACTTCTGTGTTATATATACTATTCAGAACTCAGCCATTAGAATAATGAGATTTTTACATCCAAACTGTGGTAGTGTAAAATTAAAATGCAAGTAATTTGTAACTTTTTAAAGTATACAGCTGGTGGGTTTTTTTTTTGGGGGGGGGGGGGGGGGGTTTTTTTTTTTTTTTTTTTTTTTTTTTTTTTTTTGTGGGTT